CCGTACGGAAAGGAATTTCAGCGAGATTGACTATTATTTCACACAGTTCCTATCTAAGCTTAAACTCACTATATAAATGTTTCGTTAAAAAATATTTAAAGACTATTACCATATCCTATATGCTATGTCAAATTGATTAAAAGACTACTATAAGAAATTTAATAATATATACCCTTGATATACTTTTTTGAATATTAGTTATGTGAAATTAATAATTATTGTACTTTCCAAAAGAAATAAAATATATTTATAGAAAAGAATTTGGTTTATAGAATTTGCTTTTGCCATTCAATCTAATTGAGATACTTAAATAATTTCTTATTATATTGATTATGGGTACAACAAATTTAATACCTCTAATATTTGCAGCTATTTGCATGTGGTCTTTTTCGGATGTCGATGACACAGAGAATCCACAGACGCAAATATTTGCTTGGCTTTGTGGCTTGTCTGTCGTCTCGTAAAATTTAGGAGCACAGAATAGTTAAATACATCCCGAATATGAAATTAATGCATAACAGCAACGTTTAAACTGTTCTCATGCCGATGTATACAGGGTGTTTCATAATGAATTACTTTAACTTTGGATTGCGCTTGCTTAGTCCAAGAGTTGAAAAAATTCACAATTCGGGGTGGGTATATATTCAGTATTTACAGAGATACAGTGTGTCAAAGGAAATACTACCCAAAAATGGCATGCACTGAAAACCAATACAGATGATTCGTTTTTGAGATAAAAGGGTGTTGTTGACTGCACGTTTTTTTTTTTTTTGATAGCGTATGGATAGGTATTGAAACCCTGTATTTTATTAAATTTCGAAAATAGACTATTCACGACTATGATAATTTCTTAGACCATAAAATTATCGTTCAAATTTAAAACTCCTCAACATGAAATACCCTGTATATTATTAATTTTATATGTCTGTGGAAGTGTTCTTTGTGAAAGTTTGCCAATGAGTTCATTATGAGGGAATGTGGCTTAACCTGATGTTTTAATTAGTTGGCATTATTACTTATTATATGTGACTAGCTTCAGAACAATAAGAGCTATTTTTGACAAACAAATAACGACAAACCAAACATTTTAATTCAGTTTTAGAAGTTAAAAAAGTTTAAATAAATTTTGTTTTAAAACAATTTGTGTAATAAAATTTGATATATAACTATAACTATATTTAATATAGTTGACTATATCAAAAGTAGCTAGATAGTCAGTCGTTCCTTTAATTTATTCCCTGCAATAATATTCCATACATTCGTTTATGCATATGTTGTGACTTTATTAGTTACAACTTTATCAAAAGGATTGTCATATTTATGGAATTAAATATATCTAATTTGTTGGCTTTGAAACCATTTTAACATAACAAATTCAAAAATTATTTTAACATTATTTCCATATACAGTGGTCGTCCAGTATAACGAACGCTCGATATTACGAATTTTCGATATAACGAACACCCAAAATATTTACATTGATTGTTCTATATAACGAACGAAAAAAAAAATTCTGCTCCATATTACGAACAAAAAATTTTTTGTTTCTTATTCGTTTTTGTTTTATACAAATTATGCTTTTGAATATAATTTTACTATAAAACTAGCATTATTCAGCTTAGAATATGCATGTAATTGTCCGTTTTTTTTTTTCTGAGAAAAATGCCTATATATGGCAAAATGCATATATGCAGGCGCCACTGATCTGTTGTTCACAAATTCAGTTTATCATATACGAAATACTATCTAGACATACATATAATATCCTATATTATATTTTCAATTTTATTGTTAGTGTGACATTAGTACATACGAAGTTAATAAATGGAATAATGCTGATAATACCATCGATGTCTCGGACGAGGATGATGGATCTGATGACGAAAATATAGAAGAAAATAATTTAGAAATTATTAAACATAAAGATGCCATAAATCATTTCGAAAAATGCATAAAGTGGGCGATTAACAATAATGAAACTTCAAAATTAGCTGTACTAAGAGAACTACAAGAAAAAGCTGTTCAGAAAAGTCTTGAGTGTAGTAAAAAACCAACAAAAATTAATGATTTTTTTTACTCTACACTATGATTGAATGCGTCCTTTCTTATAAATAATTTTTGTAACAACCGAATAAAAAATACTTTTAAATAAATATATACTCGTACGTGTTTATAAGTTAATTTATGAACTCAAATATATGAAATCTCCTAAAAATAACCATATTGGTAGGTAAATGTATAACATTCGATATTACGAATTTTTCGATATAACGAACAAGGGGTGCAACATAAAATTCGTTATATTGGACGTCCACTGTACTTAAATATCATCTGTCGCAAGGGTTTGTTTGTATTGTAGCTCATCTATCGGTGTTCAATGTTAAGCCACTAAGCAACTGACTGATTTGTCTGTCATATTGAAAACACCTCGTTTAGTCACGATACATAGTGTTATAAAAGAAGTTATATCCTTTTTAACCTGTTTGTCGATGTCCTTGGAATATTGAATTCTGAATAATTTTGTTAATTCAACTTATGCAAAACAAACCTAATAAATCGATATTTTTGAGATGACTAATATCATGAATTTCACAGAAGATTTTGATTGATTTTTAGTAA